TTTCTTTTGACAAGTGGCTCCTGATTGTGCCCAGCCAGACTGCGGCAGATGAGTAAAATAGAAGAAGGGCAAAATGGGAAGGGATAAGGGAGGTATTGGGAACCAAAGTGGAGCAAATTATAGCTCATGCATGTATGATTATGTCAAAATGACTGACTATTATGAATAACTAAAATTACTTAATAAAAATGTAAAAAGTGGAGTTAATTAATAAATACAGGTATTGGTTTATTTGTTAGAGTCTGTAAACAAGTCAGGATGGCGCCTGGCAAATGTTAGAGTCTATAAACAAGTCTGGATGGCGCCTGGCATTTTGCCAGATTGAGTGGTTTGTGAAGTAACGCCAGTGAGCCATTAAGTGTGGAGATTCCTTATTGGTTGACTGTTGTATCTAGTTTATGTTAATTAGATAAGCTGTGTGGAATGTATAAATACCCCTCCGGTCCTACAATAAATGGCTCCCACTCCTGCTGCATCAATGTACACAAGTTGCTTGTCACCCCCCCAGGTTATTTTGCTGCAGCCGGACTGCAGCATTTATTGACATAAAAAGGACAAAGAAAAAATAATTAATGTATGTTTCATTTGTATCTCTGTACAACATAACAGTAATGAGTAACTGAAATTAAAATTTTAAAAATTATTACTTAAAATATCATACCAATATAAAGTAACTAGGCATTGATTTGACTAAAATAGTCAAGATTAACACACTAAGCATTTCAAAGCATTGCTGAAAGGAATTAAACAAACATCAGAAGAATCAATATTTTCATCTGTCATTTCTCCACAAATTTCTGTATAGATTCATAAGAATCACAACTAAAGGAACAGCATGCTTTCTGGATAAAAGAACAAGCCTATTGTTATTAAACATTTTGTTATTTGGAACAAAATTCTGCATAGTGCAGACTATTGAGTTCATAGAAAATTCTAGAAAATTAAAATTCATAGATAGTGATAGTATTCATATTAATTCAGGATACAGGGGTGGGGGCAAGGAAAAAAAATAAAGTGGGATTAAAAGAGGAATAATGGAAGTATTCATTATCTTTTTGTGTTGTTGATTTATTTGCCTAAGTAGCTAGGTAAATAGATTATATATATATACATACATATATATGCCAAAGTTATATACAGTTTATTAAATGTAAACCATACCTTTATAAAATAGTTATACAAATATTAACTCTATAATGAGGCAATTTTCCCTACCTAATCAGCAAATGTTTTGTAAAATGTTAACCAACTGGGGAAACAAAGCCATAATAGTTCTTGCAGTTGTATGAATTCCTAGATATATTATATGGAGTTCAATTTATCCATATATATCAAATTTATGAATTTTCATTACAGTTTTATTTAATATTTTATTATTATAATCATATACTATAAGAGAGTAAATCTTTTTCAGGCCTGAATGACATTTCAAAGACCAGACACTACAATTGATACAGATACCTCAACATCAAGCAACTAAAAGTAAATTCTCCAGTATGGAAATCTCTTTGGTTAACATAAACCTTACTCATATTGTGGGTTCGAGAGTTGAGGTAAAGTGGTCTAGATAGAACTTTTGGTATGTTTTGTATCTTAAGAAAATTGAGCCACATAAACATCTTCACATGCATCTATTGCCATTGTAGAAATGTAGGATGGGATACTTGTATCTGTGAGAAGCAGTTTTGAGTTACAAGTTAATGTACAGAAAGATGCTTTTTGAATAGATATGTAAAGAGATATTGTAGAAAAATGCCACAGTGGATCCTATAGCAGGGATCATTATTACCAGATTTTGTGTGGCTCTAGTCAACTCCCGTGTATTTTAAGAAAAAAAACAGAAGAGCAACAAGGAATAACCAAAACCAATATCCAAAAATCATTGAGGAAAAAAGCCCAAGATTCTCATTGACATTTTTATAAATATGACCCAAATTATAGCTTTACAAGAACTCCCTCTTAAGTATCAATTTAGCATTTCTATCAAGTTTATGTCAATGTAAAACAAAAATAGAGATGACTCTCCCATAAAGAAACTTTTCTTTGGGAATAAATAATAAGACTGAAATCCAGGACTTACCTGCACAAGGTGGAGTGACCTTTGGTTTGTCCTGAGAACAAAGGAAAAGTTGAGGGTTTTATCAGTAGAGAAATCTATGCAAGTTATTTTGAATGAATGTTTGTTTTCAGGTGGCCAGCAGCAGTCTTTCCCATTTAAAGCAAGTTTTAAGGTCAGAGCTGGCAGTGCCATTATCAGTTGACCAGTTACTAAGTGACAGTAGTCTTAAATATAGGACATGCTACTCAAGTGGAATGGCTTTGTGAAAGAGTGCCTGGAGCAGGATTTGAGTGTGTGCCTTCTTCCCTATGGTCTTTCAACTGCATGTTAGTGGGGTGATAGGAATTACTATTTTGTATAATTAGTTTTCACACTTACATTTATAATTTTAGGAAACTGGTGGGTTTTTGACTTACAAGAAGAGATTTAATGACTCTTTTAACTGTGATTACTTAAATAAAATAGGAATATACATACTCACAATGCACACTAACATAATAACCACAGAACACATATACAAAGATGTTTAAAATCAGATACATGACTTTTTTCACATTTCCCCTAATTTTTTAAAAAAATTCTTCCAGTCATTGAAGAATTTTTTTTAAAATTTTATCTTATTCAGAGAACCTATGAAACTTTCATAATGATACAGTGCTAGTAACCAAAGGCAAATAAGCAAACTTACTTTTTTTTTTTAACCCCAAGACTGAAGAAAGAAAGGATTTGGAATCTAGCCTAGATCTCTTTGAAAGCACAAGTAATGAGCACTTTTGCCAAAATTTGATTGTTTCCTCATCCAAAATACTGTGGCCTGAGGTTGGTGCCATTGTGTGCATCATAAGTGTCTCTGACTTTTTCTATTCATCAATTTCTCTCAATTGTGTAGGCTATCAAGAAACAAATCATACTTTTTATTATGTGTGGGAAATAGCAGATGCATTAAGCAAATCAATGTGTTTTTGAAATATAAAACATTAGAGCAGAATTAAATGTTTTCTTATTATTTAGGCAGCAAGAATTTAAAAGAGATAGTGCATCCTTTATGCATCCTAGCAACTCTCATTAGAAATCATTCTTGGCTTATCCAGTGATTTAATGAATGTCTTGTAAAACCAAGTGGAAGCTAAACATGACATCTATTTACAGTGTACATCCAGGATACTCAAATACTTTTGTTATTTCCCGATAACTTACTAAAGGTCTGTACTTTGTGGAACCCTTGTTGTTATAAGTTTAGAGAATATACATTGATTTCTCAGGAATACACTAGAATTGGTGAATTTTTAATCTTTTGCATTTGTTTAAAAAGGAAATTGTCCTTAGCTTGAACTAATTTGCTCCATATGCCCCAGTAAGTGCTTAAACTTCCTAGTGTAATGATGCTACTCTTAGACTTCTCAGTACTAGAACAAATTTAATTTGATTTTCATTTACTTTTAGACATCTCAATGGGATCAAAGTACTAAGATATCAAAGCAGAGGCTCAAATTATTATCTTGCAAATCTTC